CCCCAAAACCCCAAAACCCCAAAACCCCAGTTTTTAGAATTAGAATAGGATAAATTATTATATAAACTTATGGATAGGAGAAAATGGAAGAATTACCCAACGAGAGAGATAAGGCTTAGTAAAGACTCTAATTCTTCACTTAAGAATTACAGTCATAAGCAGACTGTACAGAATGAAGGTAGGCACAGGGGCAGCTTGAGCTGACTGGGTTGGGAAGAGAGGGGGTGGGGACTGGGAGGAGTGGGTTTAGGGGGAGATTTAGAGATGGTTTGGGTGAGAAGGGGTTGGAGGAGGGGGTTGGAGGAGGGAGAATGGGGTGAGGGTGGGATTTGAGGGGTTTTGGGGGTTGAAGAGGAGGGTGAAGATTTGGATGTGTTAGGGTGTAAATGAATGTTTTATAGAAAAGCCTGGAAAATTAGGAATTCCGCAACCGAGAGTTAAAATGTCGACTTCAAATGTAGGGAACTTTATGAAGTTGTCGAACAGTATCAAGGTGGGCCCTCTGGCTTCTTCAGAGAGTGAGAAAACCAAGTCGAAATTTAATGGGACGCAGAGTATTGTTAAGAATCTTCTCAGTAAGTAGTGACTCATTATCTAATGATCTTTAACTTTGATGAGCTCTAATGAATTCGCTTTGAGATTGATGATAAGTAATTATTATTTTATATCTTTACTCTAAATAAAGCAACTTTGATAATTTTGATATTTTAAAATTCTTCACATTCCAATGCTCTTAGAAAAGACTATGAGCAATTTTGAAAATTTAACGAGGAGTTTCAGATATTTCACATATTCTCTAGATGACATTCACCATATCCCAGATGGTTTGTACTTATGACCTTGCAATTTTCTCCATTTATAATTTTGATTAATATTTTCTAGACATAAAAACGAAATTTCGAAAATAAGACAAATTCAAGAAGATCAAAGATGAGTTCGGGCATGTCCAAGTTTGCTATTCAAGAGGGTAATGTCCAGGTATTATCCATAGAAAGATCGTCTAGTTTATTACTAGCACCGAAGGCACCTATTGGTATACTTCCAAGAGTGATTATTAGATAACATAGACCTGACTAAAGGAATAAGCTCCTTAAAATACCCCCATTCTCCAGATTTTGGGTATGGAACAAAGATTCTCTTTGAGTCTTATCCTCATTCAAAGAGACCTGAGTACGTTTATTATCCTTTTATACCCTAGGAGCCAAGTCTCAACTGAGAAACATTGGAAATAAGCTAATAGATTTTGTAGCTAAGAAGCCAAAACCAGAAACCAAAATGATTTTGAAATAAGTTAAATGAGTACTTCTTGTGTATTAATTTTTTAGAAAGAAGCAAAAATAAGGTATTTTCTTGGCTGAAATCATCGAATGCTTACAAACCTCCACACTTTAGATCCAAAAAGTTACAGAAGTAAGGTTTCATATATCTATTGTAGATGTTGCTTTCAAAAAGCAAGAATAGAAGACGAAAGAGGCTCACTAAGGTTCACAAGGCATCGTTCAATAAAATCAGTGAGAGGTTTAATATGTATTCAGATATCTCAAAGAAACTTAAGTAATTGGTGTTATAACTCACAGGGACTACTCAGATAGGGTTAGGCTTTCAACTACAACCTCAGTTATTCACAGCTCTGTTGCTAAATATACTGTGAAGAGTCCAAATTCTAAAAAGCACAAAGTTTGTAGAGGTGCCACAAAAGGGTTCATTCAACTTAGTCATGATCTGAAGGAAGTAAATTCTCCTAATGAAGGTACTCTCAAAGAATGGAAGATTGATGAAAGTGTGTCAAACAAGTACTTTTTGAATAATTCTCCAGTTCCAACAATGCTATCAAGAAGCATAACTGAAAGAACAAGATTTATTGTTCGCAGAGGACAGAGAAAGAGTATATTTTTCTTGGTCTACTTACTTAATAGGATTCCTAAATAATAGTCTAATGAATATGACAAAACATAACAGCCAGACCAGCCAACACAAGTACAGGAAAATCAGGTTCCATGAGAATATTGACTGGAGGAGCATTCAAAATATCAGTTGCGATACAATGCAAAGGCCACGACTTACCGTGCCAAGAATGGCTCTTAAAGAAGTTAAGGCTATTAACTCTCACCTTCAAGATGATTACATTGATTGTTTGAGTAATTTTGACTCTAAACAGCCTAGATTTTCTAGTCCAATACAAGTTCAAAAGAATAAATTTATACCAAGATATCAGTAATATGACTCAGGTTTGGCTGTTGTCTTTCATAACATAGATAATCCACTACATCAGTGAAGTCAAGAAGGAGATGAAGGCTCAAAATCGTATGTAGATTTCCTAAATTCTAGCCAACAAATACAAAGTTAGTTTCCTAATAGATCTGCTTCAACTGGAAATTGGAAAGTTTATTACAAATTCCAAATTCAGTAATTTCGAAAGCCGCAATCAAAGAATACACATGAATAGGTCTATTTAGGGTTTAATGAATCCACACCCATATAGATATAATCTTTAGATTTCAATATGACAAAATTTGTGTGGGGTTTTGGGGTTTTGGGGTTTTGGGGTTTTGGGG